AATATTGAATTTGGAAGATAGAATTCACTTTTTAAATCTTTGATTTTCAAATAAAGTTAGCAAAAAAGAAAAAAAAAAACTTAAGAAAGAACTATAAGTTCTTTAAATTCATCATACTTTCTTTCACACTTGGTAGCCTCTTTTTGTTTTTGTGCTTTGTGTCTTAGTGGATTTATTACCTTACTTGGCTTGAAATGATGATAGCTAAAATAATAGTAAATTAAAAAAAAATTAACTAGCGCTTTCATTTTTCACATAATTAAAAATTTTTGACAACATTTCGTTTTTGACATAGAAAATAAAAATTATTTTTATCATATCAGTTTGAATTTTGTTTGGATTATCATTTAAATGAAGCAAAAAAAGGCTGATATTTGATATTTTCGTCTCATATCTTGTGTAGTAAAAATATCGTCCTAATGTAGACAAGAAAGCCAGTGTTTTTTAGTAGGTACCAACACTAATTCGGTTATACGTAACTTACGTATATAACATAACGTAAGGTTTATGAATTTGTAAAAAGGAAAAAGCTTTCTCGAAGTTTTCATTCTAGCTATAATTGAAAGCTAAAGGATTTATTTTAAAATTAACTATTTCCAGTTAGTAAAATACTCTGTGGTTTATTTCAAACAGAAATTATAATTTCTGTTTGAAATAAACCACAGATTGATTTTTTTTTCTTCAGTAAAAATCGATCAAAACAACCATTTTTGACACATTTGTAAACAAAAGTTAATTCTCGGGTTTAAAAATCTTGCAAAAATAAAATATATATTTCTGAAACGAAAATTAGCAAGTTTAAAATTAATCTGATGTGAAATAAATATTACTCAGAGTATTTCTTAACTACGAGGTCTTGTTTTCTGATGTGTTAATCGATTTATTGACAGCCGTACGTGTTCATAAGTTTGGTGGAGCAGACGATAAAGTTTGAGTTTTTTTTTCACCATACGCGGGGAACATCTCTTGAAACACATGGCCTTCTAATGATAGATTTATCAGTTTGTACATCCATACTTCAGAAATTCAGCACGTATATCACACATACAAAAACCAATTGAAATTCTTTTAAAAATATTTGAAGTTTTCAGATTGTAATAAGTTTTACAATATATGATTAGTAAATATAGTTTTATTTCCTAAGAATTATCACATTGAAAATAAATTTTAAAGGATTTAAAAACTTTATAAATTATTGAATTTAAAATAGTAAAAAAATGAAAACAAATGTTGCAAAAATTCATTTTTTGTTGAAAAAGATTTTTTCTTCAGACAATATTGTCTTTAATATATGTTATTCATAAAAGCAATTAAAAGATTCTCTAATTAAATAATGTCTTAGTTTTATTGCGTTTATTATTTTTCGATTCAGAACAGATTTTCTGTAAGACCAGGTCGGATTTTGCAAATAAAATTTGCTGATTTAAATTCTTCAAAGAATTCTGTTTTAATGAATATGGTCACTAAAAATTATCATCTGTTTATATTTCTGAGATGAGGTATTGTAATTATTTACATTGTTTGAACCGTTGTCCTCATCTTTGTTGCCATATTCACAAGGTTTTGGCTGTTGTACACTCCAGTCTCCTTTAGGTGATTGGAATTTCAAACAGAACCCTTTATTTCATCTACTGGAGTAGATTGTTCTAGTTCCACATGCCATGCCTCTTCTGGGGGTCTCAGTTATCTCCCTTTAACTCAACTCTCCAAGTTTTTGTTCACCACTGCAGTAGCCAGATATTGAACTCACAACTCTCAAGGACATATGGCCCAGTGGATAAAAGCGTTGGTTGGATCCAGTGACTTGACCCAAAGAGTTTGTAATATATAAAAAAATTACAGTATGTATTTCTAGTAAAATTACCAGCAATACATTTTATAGCAAAATAACTAACAATACATTTTATCTGTAGTTGAAGCCATAAAATTGTGTTCAAAATATTTAGAGTTTGGCATTAAATAACTGATAGAGGTTCATATACTGCTAAAAAAAAATCAACTAACCTTCCTTAATATACCATGTTGTAAATTTAATTAAAATTAATGTGCCCACCTTTTGGATTTAAAAGCATGTGTCCAAAAAGAAACTGAAAAATAATATCTGAAATGCAATACAATTTATTTCTTTTTATCATAAGTAAGAATTAAATATAATTCAACATTTGAACCACAAATTATTTTTCTAAATTCTCAAGGAGGACTCAGAATATGAGCCTACTTAAAAAAAAATTAATACTATGTAAAGGAGGTAAATCCTTGTTTGATGTGCAAAATTGGTTTGAAACTCTGAACTTAAGAATACTCAAAGTATTAGTATTGAGAGATTTGAATAGATTTAGTATATGAAAGAAGTTAAAAGAAAGGTTGCATTTCATTGAGAAAATGGGTCGAGTAAGAAAAAAATGTTCAACTATAAATAAACACATTTCTGGTTTTGAAAATCAATGAACTACAACGTTTCCATGGTTTAAAGGAAAAAAAAAATCATTTGAATAAATATTGTGACTGAAATAGGACGAACAAGTTTCTATTTGTTGACAGCATTTTCATAACAAAATCAATGCTTAACAATTGTGTGTGAAAATTAACAATGAAGAGAGTGTAAAAATTTATTCAATTCATACAAATTGCAGTAGACTTTAAAACAATTATAATTTCATAAGAAAAAAAAATACATGAATAATTTACATTCTCATTCAGGCAAATTTGAATTTTTTTGTGTGTATTTTATTTTTTATTGAAGTCACTCCATGAAAGGCAATAAAGCCACTATGACAAAAGGGGGTTACTGGGTGTGAGAGAATTAGAAAACATCAGTATTATTGAGGAACAGGAACAATAGAAGAATAATATGGAAGACAGTAGATAATGACTGACATTGCATTTAAATTTTTGAAGATCTAATTTAACTGGAAAGTATGGAGCCAGAAGAGAGTTCCATAAGAGAGAACATTTCTCATTTCAATTTAATCATGTTGATCAATGTTTATTCAATAGAGTAATTATTTTTTTTCTGTAAAATATTTTTCATCCCTCATTACTGCGAGTGGTGGCTGCTATAAATTCTTTGCCTGTTTCTGCGATCAGTTCACCACAGACAACAGTACTTGTACCAAATAATTATCCATAAATGCAAAAAGATTTTAAATGTTTATATATTACTCAGCTTTGTCACAAGAATAGGACACTCAGTTGAACTCACTGCTTGTGAGTCTGTGAATCTAGTTTTGCTTTGCATCAGGCACCCCTATTGATGTCATGCATAGCATCCAACTTCTTCAGAAATGTCTAATCTATCAGCTATATCTCAAGGAGAAAACTCATCAACACATAGATTGGTGTGATGGAACGAAAACCAAAGAACTTTACCTCATACCAAAAACCACGTCACTTGAAGACTTACAATAGCAGCAACAACAAAAATGGATAGCGCATGTAACTAGAAAGGACAATAATGAAGATGTTGACTTTCCAACATGCTATGGTCATAATCCTGAACATTTTTAGGAAAATATCAACTGGGTACATGAACGTAAGTTGAAAAGTATGGAGATCTGTAAAAACATTGACTTTATTGTCAATAAAAGGTTAGGAAATGACGATAAGACAAAGAAAAGAGTTTAATTTCCTGAGAAACTGTTGTAAGAGAAATGTTATAAATTTCAACAAACAGTAAATGCTAACTGTTTGATCAATGAATGCCAAATGTTTCCTTATAAGGAAATGTCTAATCTCACCATTAGCATATGTGTTTCAACATTTTTTCTTAAATATCTTGTTTTCTTTTTTAAATACTTAGCTTAGTATGGCATTATATGAGTTGCACAATTGCCAAAGAAATCGTTGTGCACTTCTTGTCCACATAACTTTGCTATTTCTCTTTGTACAGAGATATTTTCTAGAATTGGAAGTGTCAATCCAGCATTCTCTCTGATTTGGTCTTCACATGGTTTTTTGCCAGAGAAGTTGTCTTTATAGAATCTACACACAAAGACTTGTTCTCCTCTTCTGCTTTCATGACCAAACCAATTTAACCTCTTTTTTCTAATGAGAAAAATCATGTCAGTCTTTCCATCTAGCTTTATTTCCTTATGGCAGCCATTTTGATTTTGTCTCTGATATTTTCTCTAGCCATAGTTCTGAGGCATATTTTCTTTTTTTTCTTTTTCAAGAATGAAATGTATATGCTCCCACCAGGGAGCATATACAGTTTTGAATTCAGAGTTGTCCTTCTCCTATATTGGTTGCCAACTACAACTAGAGAGTTCAGTCTGCTTTACTTTTTAATCCATAGTTGAGAGAAGAGATGGATTCATATCTTGAGTGGAATTTGAACTTGGCTCACTGACTTCTTATTACAAACTCCTAACCATTACACCATCTGCACATCCACATTTTCATATTTACCTGAGGAAAATTCCTAAGAAAATGGGTTCCACATGTACCAATGGAAAGAAACATTATTCAACATTTTAGCTTAGAAATATGCTAATCTTTGAATTCAGAATGGCCTGCCTGCCTGCCTTGTAAATCAGAAATCCTCTTGTTTTACTTGGGTGGAAACACAATCAATGGTTGGATGTCTATCTCAGTCACCAAATGGATTCACTTTCTTTCTCTCTCATAAATATTGAGAAAATGTCAGCAATGCTTTTCATAAGGCCATTATCAGATGAAAACCCTGGGGGTTATGGTTTCATACCACTAACCTAGTTTAGCCAAGTAATGATACCACTACCATTTGTTGAGTTTTCTTTTTTATTATCATTTCATTCACATGCAGCCTCTTCTTGATTTTGGAAACTCTTAACAGATCTCCTTTTTATCACTTTTGACAATCTGAATTTCACTCCACCGAGGTTGAATTGTCCTGAACCCAACTTCAGTATCAAATATATTGCTTATTCAAGCCATGTCTTGTACATTGTTTTTATAGATCTCCATACTTTTCAACTTACATTCATGTACCCAGTTGATATTTTCCTAAAAATGTTCAGGATTATGACCATAGCATGTTGAAACACCAGTTCTCATATGATCACCAAAGTTAAACAATGTTGAGCCTGGTCAGTACCTACATGGGTGACTGCTTGGAATACCAGCTTCAATGTGCTCAGAATTGGAAATCAGAGTTTCAATTCCATCCAGGTTTGTCATATTCATTTGTGTGCAAATACCCTTGGGAAAGGTATGAATCTGTTTATTCTCCTCCCAGCTATGGGTTAATTAGTAGAACTTGTCTCAGTAAGTCATTATCTCAAAAAAATTCTGACAATATAAAAATATTTTTTGGCTTTAAATAACCTGCAAAAGATTGATAAATTGTAAAAAAAAACCAGTCAACCTAAAAATGTTCAATGACATGGACATCCCCCTTTTTTAATTTACTAATCCAATGAAGATGCTGTAGGGTTAATGTGATCTCAGCAGGAAAATTAAGATAATGTTCTATATTTAATGCAATGCTAAAATCTGTACAACCATCTGTTATATTCTATGCTAATAGGGGTATATACTTGAAAAACATGGTGGATAAATAAATAAAGGTTTATTGTAAAAACCAATACAATAAGAATAAAGGTAACAGTTATGCACAAAGTCATTGCAAGTCAATCTAGTAGTGAGTGATACTATTGGAAAGTCGGTAGTTCTTGCATAAGTCTGAGTCATACTCAACAGATCCCAGTTAGTCAATATTTACTAGCCCCCTCCCCACGAGGGTAGATGTGGCACAAAGCCAAGTTTAATGTGGGACATCCGAGCCCGTATGCTCGGCTAAAAATTCCCCGTAAAACCCGTATAAATGGGATCAGGTCTCTCTACCTCCCCAGACGAGACTCTGCCCTTCAGCATAGCCTCGTCCAGGTTCCTCTCTGCCCGAAGGCAGAGCATTCGACTGCACAGCTGGAACATATCCCACCTAGTCAGTATTTACTAGCTCCCCCAAGAGGGTAGATGTGGCACAAGGCCAAGTTTTATGTGGGTCTTCCGATCCTGTAAGCTCAGCCAAAAATATTCCCTTTTGAACCTGTATAAACGGGTTCAGGGTCAGTCTATCTGCCCTTCAAGAGAGCCTCAACCAGGTTCCTCTCTGCCCGAAGGCATGAAGTTCGACCGTCTAGCTGGAACAGATCCCAGCTAGTTGGTATTTATTAGCAAACCCCTCCCCACCACGAGGGTAGATATGGCTCAAGGCCGGGTTTAACATGGGTCTTCCAGGGCCGTAGGCTTGGCCCCAAAATGCCCGTAGAACCCACATAAATGGGATTGGGCTGGTCAACCTCCCTGAACGAGACTCTGCCCAAAGGCAGAGCCTTGTCTGGGTTCCTCTCTGTCCAAAGGCAGAGAGTTCGACTGTTTGTTCCCTTTTGAACCCGCATAAATGGGTTCAGGGGCAGTCTACCTCCCCAAACAAGACTCTGCCTCGTCCGGGTTGCTCTCTGCTCAGACACAGAGAGTTCGAACATCTAGCTGGAACAGGTCGCAGCTAGTCTCTGTAGTCTGTTGACTTACAGATACTTATAGGTAGTTACTACATATAGTGTAGTCACTCATGGAGGTGACAAGTTATTCCATTACATCACCATCAAATACTGATTTTTTTCAAAAATAGCATGAGGGATATTTTCTTTTACAAAATTTATTTTCACTTGACAATATTTTATTGCCAACTTCACAAGATCTTTTTGAAGCCATGGCAAAAGAACCTCTAGCATTTGGTTGTTTCTGCATAGATTTTTTCAGAGGATACTCTCAAACTAAGGTAGTAAAGTGATACATAATTGAAAAATTATTATCAGAAATAGAATTTCTGAAGGAAAAATATTATGAGAAATAGATTTAAAAAAAATATTACCAACAATAAATTTTGTCGGCAGAAGTGGGCAGCCATCAGTTATTAATTATAATTCTTAAAGACAAAGAAGTAGAGAAAACTTTTATGAAAATGCACCACTGGAAAGCTTTCATTTTTAAAAGTTACTTTTCTTTTCTTTTGATTTCAGCCAAGTTTACTCCATGACAATCCATCTTTGTCTTTTGCGGTATTTGTTCCTCCATCCATTTGTGCAAAATTGGAAATCCTCTGCTTCTCTTCTCTTCAATGTGCCTTGTGAGTGTTAAATTCTCCAAGCTTTCTTTCAAATTCAAGAAGCATAAAGTTGATGTAAAAAGATGTACTCATGATATACTTTCATATTAATTTTAATATAGCTGTAGTATAATGTTCATGGCTTTAACACAAAGTGTGAGAGTGTGTGTGTATGTGTGTGAAAAAATTGTCTTTCCCTCCAATCAGTATTCAAAACCTGTAGCAAGTGAGAATTTTGAAAGCAAACAAAAACTACTGGGAAGTTTTGTTCAACATTGTAGTGATATGTAAATAAGGTACTGTATAAAAGGCAGTATAACTATACCTACGGGAGAGTTATCTTCTCTTGATGAGACTACATTTATCAGCGAGATTACCTATCATAACAGTATGGTATTGCTGCTCAGTTACTTAACCATGATGGAGGATCCTGAATATGTAGAAACCTGGCTTAGGTGTTTCGCAGCATCAGGGAGAGTAAAGAAGTTAAAGGACACCAAAGCTAGTGTAGGAGAAAATGAAGCTATGAATTTGTTTTTTGGCCTCAGCAAGGTGTGAGGCCATAAAAAAAAATTCCGTCATGGTCGTCTCCAAAGTGTTGAAAGATTTAGAAGACGACGAAGAAATTGTTGCCATTATAAAAACAAATATATGACCAAAAAAAAGATTTGTCATAGTGGAAAGAACTAAATTTCTCAAAAGTAGACAGAGACTGGACGAAACTATTGTGCAATATGTATAGTGGTTGAAAGAAGCATTGGGATATTGTGTTTGAAAGAATGGGTTCCGAACAAATGTCTATAAAAGATAAACTAATTTTGCTAAAACTGATAGAAGGAATGTTTGACATCTTGTAGAAGTATAAAATTCTAGAGCGGCTTCAAGCTCGTAATATGAATCTGGAAGCATGTGTGGAGTTCTTACAACAATTGGAACTGATTCAAAAATTTAATGAATTCAAAGGCAGCATGGAGACTTAAAGTGCTACTAAGAGCTTACTTGTATGCAGATATTGCAATAAGGAACATGAAAAGAGTAAAAATAAGTGTCTGGCTTTTAGGAAATGATGTTTCAAGTGTAAAAAGAGGAATCATTTCCAGATGGTATGCACATATGAAAAGCGAGGGGAAAATATAGATCCTTCAATTGAAAAATATAGATCCTTCAATTAAAAAATATAGATCCTTCGATTGAAAGTACGGAAGTATTTGAGATAAAAGCACAGGATAAAAATAGGAAATGGTGAAGTTGAATAGAGTAACTTTAGTCGTGCATATGGATACTGGAAGTGATTTTACGTTGATACCGAGGAATTTCTGGGAAAGAATGGGTGGAGCAAGGTTAAGGAAAAGTAATCTCCAGTTGAAAAAGTTCGATGGGTCAATCATCAAAATTCTAGGATGCTTTGAAGGCACATTTGAGACAAAAAACAGATTTGAGATAATAACTATTATAGTGATGAAAACATCAAAAGCCTCTATCTTGTTAAAAGGGGATACATTGAAGCTGATAAATTCCATGAAGTCTGTATAACCGGATGTTGGATTATTAAGGGGATATGAGGCAAGTGTTCAGCTTAAAGAAACCAGTCAACCCATGTATTTTCAAGCCTGAAAAGTTCCTGTTCATGTGCTACCCTTGGTGGTGGCTAAGCTGAACAAAATGGTGGAACAAGGAATATTAGAAAAAGTCAGCCAGGGTGGTAGCAATTGGGCTTCACCCACTGTGGCGATACACAAGCCCAATGGTGATTTAAGAATTTGTGGCAATTATAATGTGGGTGTTTATTCCCATTGTCAAATATTTAAACAGCATACCATGAGTTTGCTGGTATGAAATACTTCACTAAAGTTGATCTTAAGTCAGCATATAATTAAATAAAAATTGATAGCAAGTTTCAAGAAGTCACCACAATGAATGCCCCTATGGGATTAATAAGATAAACTCATCTGTTATTTGGCATAAAAATGTCGAGTCACATTTTCCAAAAAGCCATTGAAAAATTTTTAGAGAGGATTAAAAATATAATTGTATATCAGGATGACATTGGCATTTGTGCGTGCACTAAAGAAGAGCTCAAAGGTAAATGGAGCAAGTTTTGAGAAAATTAAATAATGTTGGTATGACAATCACAATAAATGCAAGTTTAATTATGAGAAAATATCACACTTAGGATACCAAATATCCAAAGATGGTATATCGTCAGATGATAAACTCATTAATAAGATATCAGAGACAGCTGCACGCAGAAATAAAAAAGAGTTAGGATCTTTTTTAGGATTAACCAATTTCTATAACAAATATCTGCTGCGATATAGTGACTTTGTGGAACCATTTAATGGAGTAAGGAAGAAGAATATGAGTTTCAATCGACAAAAAGACAGGAGATTGTTTTTGAGAAATTAAAAAAGACACTCATAAGCAAATCCGTTGTTAAAATTTTCAACCCAGCAAAAGAATTGACATTAACTACTGATGCCAGTGAGTGTGCTGTAACTGCAATATTGTCGCAGGAGAATCACCCTATAATGTACTTATCCAGAAAACTAACATCAGTGGAGGCAAATTATTCAAATGTTGAGAAGGAGCCATTGGTGATTGTGTAGACCATGGAAAGAACTAGAAAGTTTTTGCAGGAAAGGAAATTTCTATGAAAATCTGAACATAAGCCTTTGGAATTTATATTCAACAACCAGAAGAGAGTTGCCAAAGGTTACATCTACCAGAATATTAAGGTGGATGATTAAGCTTATGGTAGTTGACTTTGAGATCGTATACAGTAAAGGAAATACTATTCTGCATGTAGATGCATTATCTCAGTTAAATTTTGAGAGGAGAGGATTTTGCACTGGCTACAAAAAGGGACGTAATCAGCTTAGGTTGGGAACTAAGCAGGATCCAGTGTTGAATAGAATTATGGATAGAATAAAGAGAAATATTACACAAATTAACAATAGAAAAAGGAATAATATGTAATGGAAATATAGTGTTTTCAAGAAATGGAGTTCCA